ACCAGGCAACAACGGTGTTATTTATGTGTTATCATTATCTTAAATGACAGACTGTGTGAGGAATGTAATTATGGTTACATTTAATAATAAAATATTGAAATAATGGTGGTTATTTATGTTTCGATAATCAATAATGTCAGTACAAGATGTTGACCTTACGCTGCTGCCAGGCGCACAATGTGATTATTATCTCAAAATATTTTCTATGTGAGAATGATATTATTAGCCGGACATATTAATGATAATTGTAGTAAAATCAGTAAAGTAATGATAGTCATCAACTGATAGCTAATTAATAGTTAAGGCAGTACAACATGTTGAGTGTGGTGCTGCCAGGCGCACGATGATCGTCTTCTCGTAATATAAGACAGTTTGACTCCTTATTTGAGCTCGCTTTCCCTTGTCAATTTCTTAATTAATTTTGACACTCATAATGTATCAAAAATTAATAATTTAATTTGAATTTCAGTTGTATCACCTTCGGCTGACAACCGAAGTGTCCGGTTTCTATCCTGGGGCGGGTAGAGACTTTAATTAAAGACAGCCAGGGGTCTTGAAGAGAGCCAGGGGTCTTGAAGACAACCAGGGATCTTGAAGACAACCAGGGGTCTTGAAGACAACCAGGGGTCTTGAAGACAGACCAGGGGTCTTGAAGACAACCAGGGATCTTGAGACAACCAGGGGTCTGAAGACAACCAGGGGTCTTGAAGACAGCCAGGGGTCTTGAAGACAACAGGGGTCTTGAGACAGCCAGGGGTCTTGAAGACAACCAGGGGTCTTGAAGACAACCAGGGGTCTTGAAGACAACCAGGGGATCTTGAAGACAACCAGGGGTCTTGAAGACAACCAGGGGTCTTGAAGACAACCAGGGGTCTTGAAGACAACCAGGGATCTTGAAGACAACCAGGGGTCTTGAAGACAACCAGGGGTCTTGAAGACAGCCAGGGGTCTTGAAGACAACCAGGGGTCTTGAAGACAACCAGGGGTCTTGAAGACAGCCAGGGGTCTTGAAGACAACCAGGGGTCTTGAAGACAACCAGGGGTCTTGAAGACAGCCATGGGTCAATTGGTAATCCCCGTTATGTATGCTGGGAGTCAGATGAACAGTCTTGGGCCCCTAACACTTATTGTGTTGTCTCTCAGTGTACTCAATAGCACCACTGCTTATCACTGGGGGAATGTTGCATCTCCTGCCCAGTCTCTTGCTCTCATAGGGAGTGATTTTCGTGTACAAGTTTGGTACTAATCCATCTAGGATTTTCCACGTGTATATTATCATGTATCTTTCTCGCCTGAGTTCCAGGGAATACAAGTCAAGGGACTTCAACTGTTCCCAGTATTCTAGGTGCTTGTTCGTACTTATGCATGCAGTGAAAGTTGTGTAAGTTCTGCAGGTCTGTAATTTCACCGGCCTTAAAGGAGGCTGTTAGTGTACAGCAATATTCCAGCCTTGAGAGAACAAGCTATTTGAAGATAATCATCATGGGCCTGGCATCCCTAGTTTTGAAGGTTCTCATTATCCATCTCTTGTGTTGAAGGTTCTTACTATCCATCCCTAGTTTTGAAGGTTCTCATTATCCATCTCTTGTGTTGAAGGTTCTTACTATCCATCCCTAGTTTTGAAGGTTCTCATTATCCATCCCTAGTTTTGAAGGTTCTCATTATCCATCCCTAGTTTTGAAGGTTCTCATTATCCATCTCTTGTGTTGAAGGTTCTTACTATCCATCCCTAGTTTTGAAGGTTCTCATTATCTCCCTAGTTTTGAAGGTTCTCATTATCCATCCCTAGTTTTGAAGGTTCTCATTATCCATCCCTAGTTTTGAAGGTTCTCATTATCCATCCCTAGTTTTGAAGGTTCTCATTATCCATCCTATCATTTTCTTAGCAGATGTGGTAGATACATTGTTGTGATCTCTCAAGGTGAGATCCTCTGACTTTGTCACTCCCAGGTCCCTCACATTACTTTTTTCACTCTATTATGTTGTTAGTGAGTTTATTCAGATATACACAAATACACTACATAGATTATCATACATAGAAATATATGGGTAGAGAACCCAGGATAACCCAAAAAAGTCAAGAGTGACATACTTATTGGAATTTACTGTATATTTGGGACACTAAGAAGGTTGGTATACCAAGACAATGGTGTTACAATGGATAAATAACCCGCACATTGGACAAAAGACCATCTTTGGGTCCGGCTTGGACCAATGTGTGAGTGGAGTCCAAATTGGCCAGAAATGTCGTGTATGTGAGGTGAGCGAGAAATTTAGTTACATGTAAGTAGGTACCTGGGTGTTAGTTACCTTACACCTGCTGCAGTGTTCACCTAGCAGTAAGTAGGTACCTGGGTGTTAGTTACCTTACACCTGCTGTCAGTGTTCACCTAGCAGTAAGTAGGTACCTGGGTGTTAGTTACCTTACACCTGCTGTCAGTGTTCACCTAGCAGTAAGTAGGTACCTGGGTGTTAGTCACATTACACCTGCTGTCAGTGTTCACCTAGCAGTAAGTAGGTACCTGGGTGTTAGTCACCTAAATACAATATATATATACTTATAAAACATTTGTGTTTAACTCTAGTGACAAAGCCTATGAAAAATTCTCAGTATTAGGCCTAGTAGGTCCTTAATTCCGCCCTGGGGTTATGTTTTGATCCTATTCGGTGGATTAAAAGCCTTTTTCGGGAATCAAAAGCCCCTTTAGTTAGGTACCTTGATGCTGGTCAGGGGCTTTTGATTTAGGGAATTGGATCTGTCCTCCAGTTCCCTGAACTGACCCTAAATACCTTCCACCTCCCCCCCCCCTACAAGAGCTGTATAATCCCAACGGGTTTAACCCTCTCTCTGGAACCCGAAAAGAGCCTATAGAGAAAATGAAATTTTTTACACAATTCAGGGGAGACTTAATTATCCTAAGGATTTTTTCATTTCTTCTGGTCCGGTTATCTGTATTATTATTATTATAATCATGGGGGAGCGCTAAACCCATAGGATTATACAGCACAAGTGGGGGGGGGGATGGAAGGCATTCAGGCTCAATTCAGGGAACCGAAGCACAGATCCAATTCCCTAGATCAAGAGCCCCTGACCAGCGTCAAGGAACCTCCCTTGAGGGGTCGGTTATCTGTAGCAAGTCAGCGGTCGATATCTCCTGGTTTAGTGGCCTTGTCCTTGCTCCAGCCACACGAATGTTATATACGACTTTACTATATACCCTACTGTCTATCGATCAAGTACACATCTATCTGAGTGTACACGGACGTATTTAGTGCTGTGGTAAGGGAAAATATGTAGATTTTCCCTGAGTTTGGAGGAGGTGGTGTTTTAGACTAAGATGGGCGTGGCCGTCCACCTTGATATCATAATATTGACCTTAATAATGGTTAAAAATACTCGGAAGTGTCCACCATTACCATAATAATGTTCTTCAAACAAAAAAATAATGTAGCTTATAAATCGGTGATTTTAGGAAAGCCAATTTGTTGAAAGTTTGTTTTGTTAAGTGAGTTTTGCTTTAGTCACCCTTGGAGAGCTGAGAAAGTGGGAAGCAACAGAAAAGGGTAATAATCAGTGTAACAATACTATTGTTTATTTCTAGCAGTACATGATACAACTTATACAGACCATAGCTCACACCTATGATATATAGAAAGTTCCTGGTTATGTAGAGTATTTCCCACAACTTGGGTTAATTTTGTCCCCCAGGATGCCACCCACACCAGTCACCTAACACCCAGGTACCTGCTTACTGCTAGGTGAACACTGACAGCTGGTGTAAGGTAACTAACACCCAAGTACCTACTTACTGCTAGGTGAACACTGACAGCAGGTGTAAGATAACTAACACCCAGGTACCTACTTACTGCTAGGTGAACACTGACAGCTGGTGTAAGGTAACTAACACCAAGGTACCTACTTACTGCTAGGTGAACACTGACAGCAGGTGTAAGGTGACTAATACCCAGGTACCTACTTACTGCTAGGTGAACACTGACAGCAGGTGTAAGGTGACTAATACCCAGGCACCTACTTACTGCTAGGTGAACACTGACAGCAGGTGTAAGGTGACTAATACCCAGGCACCTACTTACTGCTAGGTGAACAGGGACAGTAGGTATCTAAAAGAAACACGTTTTAATGTTTCTATCCGTACCGGAGATCGAACCCCGGACCTCAGTGTGTGAGGTGAGTGCGCTACCAACCCAGCCACGAGACACACCTGGAGTTTACCTGGAGAGAGTTCCGGGCGTCAACGCCCCCGCGGCCCGGTCTGTGACCAGGCCTCCTGGTGGATCAGAGCTGATCAACCAGGCTATTTTTTAAAGAATCAATTTGAGATAATTTCCAGTCAGAGCTTCTTCAGGGAAGACAAGGTATTATTAAATTAAGTTTGTTTTAGTCACCCACTTGAAGGAATAAGAAAGTGGGAAGCAACAGAAAACGGAGTTTACAATTATTATACAATAAGTATAATAATGTGCATTAAAGAAACGATTTAAAATCTACAAATCAAAGTTATTTCAAGGAAGAGAGAGTCGAATTGTGCATTAAATCAGGTTTGTGTTAGTCCCCCACTTGAAGGAACAAGAAAGTGGGAAGCAACAGAAAACGAAGGTTATAATTGATATACAATAAGTATAATAATGTTATTTATAATAATGTGTCTTAAATAAATCATTTAACATCCCCAATTCAAAGTTATTTCAGGGAAAAATAGACGAGTTGTGCATTAAATCAGGTTTTTTTAGTCCCCCACTTGAGGGAACAGAGAAAGTGGGAAGCAACAGAAAACGGATTTTACAAATATTATACAATGAGTATAATATGCATTAAAGAAACGATTTAAAATCTACAAATCAAAGTTATTTCAGGGAAAAAATAGACGAGTTATGCATTAAATCAGGTTTTTTTTAGTCCCCCACTTGAAGGAACGAGAAAGTGGGAAGCAACAGAAAACGGCACCAGGAGGAGGCAGTGTTGCCAAGTGGTGGTAGAGGCGGCGGTGGTGGTGTTGGTGACAGTGTGTGAAGGAAGTCTTGATCAAGCTGACTATATTTCTCCCTGAATTAGCGCCCCAACCTGACCTCCAGGGCAGACAATGTCTACCAGAGGGTCAACACCGTGGCATCCTGACCGTGGCACCCTTGACCTGACCAACAGGTAGGCTGTGAGAGGCTGAAATCTGTGTAAAAGGGCTAAGGCAAGCCATGGTGGGTTTGAGAGGGTCGAGGAGGAGGGTTTTTTTTGGGGGGTTGGGTTTACTGGGTTATTTTATTACTGGAAGGTTGGTTTTTTGGGGGTGTTGGCGAGGGAGGTTGGTGAGGGAGATGTTGGAGGTGAGGGAGATGAGAGGGAGGGGGTTGGATGAGATGTGGGGGGGTGGGGAAAGGAGGAGGGGGGTGTTGGGAGGGGGTAGTGACGCCCCTCTCCTGAGTTGGTAACACTGACCACTGCCAGATGCTCGATGTTCCTCCCCCTTCCCCTAACCCCTCCCCCTTACCCCCTTCCCCTTACCCCCTTCCCCTTACCCCCTACCCAACAACAATAGACGTCCCCTTACTCCCCCTCTCCCCTGCCACCACCTCACCCCCCAATAATTCCCCCCTCCTTCCTGCCGCCATTCCATCACCTTATCCTGCCGCCATTACACCCTCACCCCCCCTCATCTTCACCCTGTCACCCCCACCTGCTGTCACCCCCACCTGCCGTCACCCCCACCTGCTGTCACCCCCACCTGCCGTCACCCCCACCTGCTGTCACCCCCACCTGCCGTCACCCCACCTGCTGTCACCCCCCACCTGCTGTCACCCCACCTGCCGTCACCCCCACCTGCTGTCACCCCCACCTGCTGTCACCCCCCACCTGCTGTCACCCCCACCTGCTGCCACCCCCACCTGCTGTCACCCCCACCTGCTGTCACCCCCACCTGCTGTCTCTCCCTGCCTGCCATCCCCTGCCTCTTAATATTTCTGTCTATCTCCTTGTCATACTGCTGTCTGTATCCCTGTCATACTGCTGTCTGTATCCCTGTCATACTGGTGTCTGTCTCCCTGTCATACTGCTGTCTGTCTCCCTGTCATACTGCTGTCTGTATCCCTGTCATACTGCTGTCTGTCTCCCTGTCATACTGCTGTCTGTTTCCTTGTCATACTGCTGTCTGTCTCCCTGTCATACTGCTGTCTGTATCCCTGTCTTACTGCTCTGTCTCTCTGTCATACTGCTGTCTCCCTGTCATACTGCTGTCTGTCTCCCTGTCATACTGCTGTCTGTTTCCCTGTCATACTGCTGTCTGTCTCCCTGTCATATTGCTGTCTGTTTCCCTGTCATACTGCTGTCTGTTTCCCTGTCATACTGCTGTCTGTCTCCCTGTCATACTGCTGTCTGTTTCCCTGTCATACTGCTGTCTGTCTCCCTGTCATACTGCTGTCTGTCTCCCTGTCATACTGCTGTCTGTTTCCCTGTCATACTGCTGTCTGTCTCCCTGTCATGCTGTCTGTCTCCCTGTCATACTGCTGTCTGTCTCCCTGTCATATTGCTGTCTGTTTCCCTGTCATACTGCTGTCTGTCTCCCTGTCATACTGCTGTCTGTCTCCCTGTCATGCTGCTGTCTCTTCCCTGTCATACTGCGTCTGTTTCCTGTCAACGCTGTTCCCCTATCAACTGCTGTCTGTCTCCCTGTCATACTGCTGTCTGTCTCCCTGTCATACTGCTCTGTCTCTCTGTCATACTGCTGTCTCCCTGTCATACTGCTGTCTGTCTCCCTGTCATACTGCTGTCTCCCTGTCATACTGCTCTGTCTCTCTGTCATACTGCTGTCTCCCTGTCATACTGCTGTCTGTCTCTCTGTCATACTGCTGTATGTTTCCCTGTCATACTATTGTCTGTCTCCCTGTCATACTGCTGTATGTTTCCCTGTCATACTGCTGTCTGTCTCCCTGCCATACTGCTGTCTGTCTCCCTGTCATACTGCTGTCTGTCTCCCTGTCATATTGCTGTCTGTTTCCCTGTCATACTACTGTCTGTCTCCCTGTCATACTGCTGTCTGTATCACTGTCATACTGCTGTCTGTCTCCCTGTCATACTGCTCTGTCTCTCTGTCATACTGCTGTCTCCCTGTCATACTGCTGTCTGTCTCCCTGTCATACTGCTGTCTGTATCTCTGTCATACTGCTGTCTGTCTCCCTGTCATATTGCTGTCTGTCTCCCTGTCATACTGCTGTCTGTCTCCCTAACTGTCATACTGCTGTCTGTCTCCCTGTCATACTGCTGTCTCCCTGTCATACTGCTGTCTGTCTCCCTGTCATATTGCTGTCTGTCTCCCTGTCATACTGCTGTCTGTCTCCCTGTCATACTGCTGTCTGTCTCCCTGCCATACTGCTGTTTGTCTCCCTGTCATACTGCTGTCTGTCTCCCTGTCATGCTGCTGTCTGTCTCCCTGTCATGCTGCTGTCTCCCTGTCATATTGCTCTCTGTTTCCCTGTCATACTGCTGTTTCCCTGTCATACTGCTGTCTGTCTCCCTGTCATACTGCTGTCTGTCTCCCTGTCATGCTGCTGTCTGTCTCCCTGTCATATTGCTGTCTGTTTCCCTGTCATACTGCTGTTTCCCTATCATACTGCTGTCTGTCTCCCTGTCATACTGCTGTCTGTCTCCCTCTCATACTGCTGTCTGTCTCCCTGTCATACTGCTGTCTGTCTCCCTGTCATACTGCTGTCTGTCTCCCTGTCATACTGCTGTCTGTCTCCCTCTCATACTGCTGTCTGTCTCCCTGTCATACTGCGTTTTCCCTGTCATACTGCTGTCTGTCTCCCTGTCATACGTTGTTTCCTGTCATATGCTGTCTCTCGCTGTCATACTGCTGTCTGTCTCGCTGTCATACTGCTGTCTGTCTCCCTGTCATACTGCGTCGTTCCTGTCATTGCTCTGTCCTCTGTCATACTGCTGTCTGTTTCCCTGTCATACTGCTGTCTGTCTCCCTGTATACTATTGTCTGTCTCCCTGTCATACTGCTGTCTGTCTCATGTATACTGCTCTGTCTCTCTGTCATACTGCTGTCTCCCTGTCATACTGCTGTCTGTCTCCCTGTCATACTGCTGTCTTATCTCTGTCATACTCTGTCTGTCTCCTGTCATATTGCTGTCTGCTTCCCTGTCATACTGCTGTCTGTCTCCCTGTCATACTGCTGTCTGTCTCCCTGTCATATGCTGTCTTTCCCTGTATACTGCTGTCTGTCTCCCTGCCATACTGCTGTTGTCTCCCTGTCATACTGCTGTCTGTCCCCTGTCATGCTGCTGTCTGTCTCCCTGTCATGCTGCTGTCTACCTGTCATATTGCTGTCTGTTTCCCTGTCATACTGTGTTTCCCTGTCATACTGCTGTCTGTCTCCCTGTCATACTGCTGTCTGTCTCCCTGTCATGCTGCTGTCTGTCTCCCTGTCATATTGCTGTCTGTTTCCCTGTCATACTGCTGTTTCCCTATCATACTGCTGTCTGTCTCCCTGTCATACTGCTGTCTGTCTCCCTCTCATACTGCTGTCTGTCTCCCTGTCATACTGCTGTCTGTCTCCCTGTCATACTGCTGTCTGTCTCCCTGTCATACTTCTGTCTGTCTCCCTCTCATACTGCTGTCTGTCTCCCTGTCATACTGCTGTCTGTCTCCCTGTCATACTGCTGTCTGTCTCCCTGTCATACTGCTGTCTGTTTCCCTGTCATATTGCTGTCTGTCTCGCTGTCATACTGCTGTCTGTCTCGCTGTCATACTGCTGTCTGTCTCCCTGTCATACTGCTGTCTGTCTCCCTGTCATACTGCTCTGTCTCTCTGTCATACTGCTGTCTGTTTCCCTGTCATACTGCTGTCTGTCTCCCTGTCATACTATTGTCTGTCTCCCTGTCATACTGCTGTCTGTCTCATTGTCATACTGCTCTGTCTCTCTGTCATACTGCTGTCTCCCTGTCATACTGCTGTCTGTCTCCCTGTCATACTGCTGTCTGTATCTCTGTCATACTGCTGTCTGTCTCCCTGTCATATTGCTGTCTGTTTCCCTGTCATACTGCTGTCTGTCTCCCTGTCATACTACTGTCTGTTTCCCTGTCATACTGCTGTCTGTCTCCCTGTCATATTGCTGTCTGTTTCCCTGTCATACTGCTGTCTGTCTCCCTGTCATACTGCTGTCTGTCTCCCTGTCATACTGCTGTCTGTCTCCCTGCCATACTGCTGTTTGTCTCCCTGTCATACTGCTGTCTGTCTCCCTGTCATGCTGCTGTCTGTCTCCCTGTCATGCTGCTGTCTGTCTCCCTGTCATATTGCTGTCTGTTTCCCTGTCATACTGCTGTTTCCCTGTCACACTGCTGTCTGTCTCCCTGTCATACTGCTGTCTGTCTCCCTGTCATGCTGCTGTCTGTCTCCCTGTCATATTGCTGTCTGTTTCCCTGTCATGCTGCTGTTTCCCTGTCATACTGCTGTCTGTCTCCCTGTCATACTGCTGTCTGTCTCCCTGTCATACTGCTGTCTGTCTCCCTGTCATACTGCTGTCTGTTTACCTGTCATATTGCTGTCTGTCTCGCTGTCATACTGCTGTCTGTCTCCCTGTCATACTGCTGTCTGTCTCCCTGTCATACTGCTGTCTGTCTCCCTGTCATACTGCTGTCTGTCTCCCTGTCATACTGCTGTCTGTCTCCCTTTTCATACTGCTGTCTGTCTCCCTGTCATACTGCTGTCTGTCTCCCTGTCATACTGCTGTCTGTCTCCCTATCATACTACTGTCTGTCTCCCTGATATACTGCTGTCTGCCTCCCTGTCATACTGCTGTCTGTCTCCCTGTCATACTGCTGTCTGTCTCCCTGTCATACTGCTGTCTGTCTCCCTAACTGTCATACTGCTGTCTCCTTAACTGTCATACTGCTGTCTCCTTAACTGCCATACTGCTGTCTGTCTCCCTAACTGTCATACTGCTGTCTGTCTCCCTGTCATACTGCTGTCTGTCTCCTTAATTGTCATACTGCTGTCTGTCTCCCTGTCATACTGCTGTCTCCCAGTCATACTGCTGTCTGTCTCCCTGTCTCCCTAACTGCCATACTGCTGTCTGTCTCCCTAACTGCCATACTGCTGTCTGTCTCCCTAACTGCCATACTGCTGTCTGTCTCCCTAACTGTCATACTGCT